ATTAAATAAATGTTTATTTCTTACAGTATTTGGTCTAAGGAACCTAAATATATCGATTTCACTTCATAAAAGCAGAAGATTGTTGTAGAAATTTAATTTTATAAAATATTTTTTAGTCTATATTTTTTAAACACTAAAAACGCTGTTCGCCACATCCGTCATGATTGTAACGTCTCTTTCAGTAAACAACTAAATGTCATCCGCGTGTTATTGTGGGTGGATTCTTTAGTCTGAATAAATTTATCTTAAAACACTTTTAACTTTAGAAAAGTTTCCGTTTACTCCTTTTTTTTGACTAAACTAATTATGGATGCCGGCTTTGTGAAAGCAGAAAGCACAAATCTGCCAAAAATCGACGCATTAATGATTGGTGAATTTTTTGCACTAAACCCCGATTTCTGCTCTGCGGAGCAGAGAAACGACAAGGCATCTATGTCAGTACAGTGCATTTAGTATTACAATGTAGTAATAAACATAAAACTGATACAACATATGAATAAGTGTAATAAAGTTGCGTAGGTTAATTTCTTTCGGCACTTTTATCCACAACATTCCTGGAGTCTTCAAGGATGTGTTTTTATATACTCGTACAATACAATAATGATAATTACTTAATTTTACGTGGTATTTATTAGAAATCATGTTCTTTTTGTTATAAACTCAGATAAGTTATTTTCTAAGTGCTTACGAGTTTTTGTTTACTACAGTTGACATCATAGCATAGACAATCTATAGACTAAAATGGCCGACAGCGTTTTTGTATGTCCATGAAAATTCTATTATAAAATTAAAGATTTGTAGCTTTCTAGGTCTCAAAAAAATACAATACATTTTTTTTCGGTCTAATAGAACATTTATTAACCATTTAAAACCTTTTTCCAAAAAGGGTCAACTAGCCTATTACGTATTCTCAATAGAAGAAAACTTGCTGTTGTTGAAGAAAACTTTTCAGCGTATTATCGGGCAAGTGAGTGGTATCAATTTGTTCGATAGTAAATAAGTCAAAAATTTATCCCCTTTCCTTATACGCGATTAAGCTTTTATATGTATTGTAGGTAAATCAAATTATAGAAACGGAAAATTGCAATATGGCTTCATTAGAATGGCGACAGCGTAGGACCACAGGAAACGGCTGCCCTAGCCAACAGGCTGAGTCACGCGTGGGCCAAATGTAAGACGCGATCAATTTACGACATTCGCTAGGCCATTACTTATACCCTTAGAACATTCACCGCATTTATTTTATTTATTTGTTTAATTATACTTTTTTCCAAAAAACCAGCAATTGGCGGACTCAATGCAATAAGTCATTCTCTCCCAGTCAACCAGTAAGAGTGTGGGAACATATAGTGGTAGTGGAATAAAGACACACGTAATAAACCTGGGTATATATTATAAAAAACAGTACACATCAATATTAAGTATAAATACATAAGTAATAAATATTAGCAATACCCATATAAACCTACATACACTATTATAGCAGTTGCTCATCAATGATATTTACTCTTTCATTGCAGTGTTATCGCTTCTATAACAGAAATTTCGCCTATGATATTCTGAAAACTAGCGTCATGGCATTTTGTTTCATGGCATATGATGAGCTGGAGACTTTTCTGCCACGGTAACACCTTTTCTTTTTGATGTATAACATCTTTCCTCTCGCTTTCCTGCAATTTGTGGGAGTGATTTCGTGAAATGGGACGGAAGTGTGTAGCAGGAAGTCGTGAAAGCGCGTGCTATTTGATTTGATTTTAGAACATAATGTTCAAATGGCTTATTCCTTTTGGAGTAGGTTTTACTTCAAGGTGAGATTTCAAATGTCATCATACGCGACTACTGTAAGGCTCGCTCGATTTTTTAATTGATGCTGTATTGTGTATGTGATCGTAGTGTAGTACTACAATAGGCAATTTTGTATTCTTTCTTTTTTGATATTTCGATCAAGCTCCGTGAAGCACAAGTCCACGTCTTGTGATCAAAGATACCAAATCTCAAAACTTATGTGAGAACTCCATTATCCTGTTTTATGCAATGGGTATGTAATTAAATTAAATTAATAAAATAAAATAATATAAAAAATGCCTAGTGGTTTTTGTTTGCAACTAGGTACGAAAATTCGAGGGACGTAGGTAGTATCGTTGTATTTCATTATCGTATTACCGCATTCAGTATCGTCTTGTACTTAATAAATTTGATTAAAATGAGAAAAAGCATAAAACGATTAAATTGAACTTTTTATTGATCGTCTCGGAGCGCGACCTTTGTTTTTTTTTATAGAAACTGTTTTTTTGTTAGCGTGCTTGTTATCAAACTATATCTAGTTAGTTATTGATGCATTTATCGAAAAAACAATTGATAATATCTTGATATGGGATGTAAGTTCATATAAACAAATCGGTATCCCACATGGAAAATATACTATACTTTATTAAAATTGACTTATTGAAATCTCTTTTTAATTCAATATTTTTTTCCACCATCCATTCAGGAAATATTTTAATAGCTATTAAAAGATGTCTGATCAGCAGACATTTGAGCGTTTAACTGAAGTAGCAACATTTACATAAAATTAAAATCATGTCGGTACCAATACAATAATTTAATACATTTGCACAAATGCGATTAATTGAGATAATGCGATAATTTGAAGCTTAAAACTGGTATGCTTATGAGCAAAGTACCTAACCCCTTAGTAAAGTCAGATAATGACTTGAATATTTAAGGAATTTTGCTCTAAGACTAATTGCGCTACTGTGTGTTTAAGCTAGTTGTTTTAATGGCTCGTTCTACTACGCCACAAATGGACAGAATACCTCGCACATTTTATCAAGTTAAATACTTGTTAAATGTCATAATTTATGCTTCGATAAAGTAGTACCTATGTCTGTGATCGTGACTCAACCATTTTATAGAAATATGTTGAGAGAAATTGAACATAAACTTTCATATTTTTCGCTTCCTGTTTGATTTTCATGTTTTTCCGCAAGCTAGTGTACAAAAATTAGACTTACTGAAATATTTATTTAAAACGTATGTTGGTAGTTCATAGTTAGCTTTTTTTGTCAAAAGTGTACTTGTAGATTTTTTATTTTATTAATGAAATCCTCATATATTAAATGCTAGCTTGTAATACTGGCCGTTGACAGACGGACGGTCGGATGGACAGCGGAGGCTAGTAATAACGTTCCTTCGTCACCCTAAAAATATAAATTACATTTTTAGGCGACCTTCGTGACTTGAGTGGTATGTACACTGGGTTTTTTCAGAAGGCCCGGGTACGAATCCCGCTGGGGCAAATGTTTGTGTGATGAATTCGATCAATGGTACCGAAGTCATACATGTTTATATTTCTAAATAAATATAGTTATATCTGTGGCAATAATTATAAATTAATATGTAAGTATTCTATCCGTTTTCCTAGTATCTCATAACACAAGCCTTACAGTGCTTACTTTGGGACTAGGCTAATTAGTGTGAGTGTTATAAATATTTGTTATTATTTATCCTTCTGACAATTATAACAGTTTCAATTTACAAATTTGGAAACTATTATATAACACTTTAACAGTATCGTCATGATGGCCCATCGTTTGTCTTTCGCCTATGCAAACTGGCGGTATTTGCTTAACCCAGCGAAGGCGATTTTCGTTTACGCAAAATGTCTTAAGCTAATATACATACACTGATAGTACCTACTAACTTATGTTACAATACCACAGAACATATGTAAGTGTTCTGTATACTACACGCCTGACCAACTCTGGTGATTTTACAAATTAATAATCCAGTTTAACAATATTATACGCACTGATGTAAAAATGAGTTAGTTCTTACAGTGCTATTCTGTAAGAACTAACTCATTTTTCGACTCGAAATCAGCAGTGTGATTATTTACAATAAATTTCAAATCACACGAATTCCGTGGTGAAAAGTACTCACTTTTTTGTATAAAGAACAAACTTTCGTTTTTACGGAATTTCAATTTACGGAATATCAGTAAGTAGTACTAACTGATACAAAATGAAAATTTGGCTTTAAGTGTGTATTGGTCGCTTAGGGGTCAACAGAGAATAAATATTTGTTTTCAAACCAGACATTGCAATTATCAAATAGTTGTTATTGAAAAGAAATCAATGTTACAAATACGTCAAAGCACAGTATTAATTTGCACAAACAAATTAGCTTTGCGGTATTGAGTTTTAAGAAAACGATAAAACGAACTATAATTAAGTAAAATAGGTAGGTATATTAATAATAACTCAGCCGGTCAAAGGTTACTAATTAATACGCAAAATTACGCATACGTCATGAATTCAATCACAATAAAGCAATTTCTACCCGTTGAAAGGAGGCTGGGCGAAATTGGTCCATGAACCAATACCGATACCGTTGTGGTAATTGTTTAGGGGTATCTCAACTACCTACACTTAATAAAAAAAAACTCCCAAGTGCGATTCGGACTCGCTCATGAAGGGTTCCGTAACAGCAAGTAACAAAATATAAACTTTCTTGTAGTTCGTTGTAACTTTGATCGAAGTTTTAATAATAGTGTATTTTTTTTAATTTATCTATTGATAAGTAAAGTTGATTTGATTGAATGAAAGGTAAATAGCTGTTTACGATTTATGACGTATTAAAAAACTACTTACTAGATTTCGTTCAAACAAATTTTCGGTGGAAGTTTGCATGAACATGATATATTTTTTTAGTTTTATCATTCTCTAATTTTAGATTTTACAGGGAGGCGGGGGGTACACTTAAGAGGATCTTAAAGGGTGGGGGACAATAATCCAAAAGGGTTCTGTTTTTGGCATTTAGCTACAGAACCCTGAAAAGGTGCATCAAAATCTGACCCTGCAGTTTTAAGACAAATGACATTACACAAAAACCACAACGGTGTCAGTATTGGTTCTTGGACGGACTCCCATACAAATTTGCCCAGTCTCCTTTAATTATCAAAGAAAAAAGAAGTAGGTAGGTGTGAAGAAATAACTCACAGGTATTTGGTAGAAAGATCCATTGTTGACTGTAGGATATGAAGTTAGCGGCACAACTGGAACTGAGCCGTTGCGTAGCAGAATAGGCCCCTGCAAAGGGGTTATGGCTGGCTGATCAGCATCTGAAAAGGTAATTAACAGTAATACAATACTTTTCAAATCTAATCAAAAATTAAACGGTTTGCCTAGATTGTAGTTCAGGAATAGGGTATTTGACAGTATTAAAAATAAAGTGCCAATTGATAGCATCTGTGTTTAGAATGAATATTGGCAGGGGTTTTTACAATTTTTACAAAAAAAATAATTCATAATTTTACTAAAAACCCACGAAAAAGATAATAGTTTTCTTATCTATTGTCACGTGACCCAAAACCCTTGGGATTGGCGGAGCCTAAAATGACGTCATACGCAAGTAAAGTTCTGGTTAAAGTGACATTACATTGTATCATTTGACGTTTTAATAACATTCGTGAGGTCACACACTAGTAAAACGCCATATTGTCCAGAAAAACGTTTTCGCGGCAATTTGGAAATGGAGTTTTTGATTTGGTTATTTTTATTGAAATACACAACAGAATGATGAATATCCACTTTTTACGGCCTCCATAAACATTAGTCAATAACGTGAGATCGTTTTCTAAAACTTGTCAAATACTCTATTAAGACATAACACGAAATAGGCTGTTTGCTAATTGGGCCGATAGAAAAATAATCAAAATGAGAAATTAAAGAAGGTTTTTTTAATGTTTATGCAGGCAAACGAGCTGACAGACCATCTGATGAAAAGTGGTCACTTGCAGCATCAAGGGTACCATTCATGTTACGGATATTCTAAGATAAGAAAAAGAATAATCAGTAGCTGCCTAGATATGTGTTAACAAAATTTTTCGTAACGACGTATTTCAGTATTGAAACGAGGAAATAAATTTAATTCACGGAAACGAGGTAGTATCTATAGACGAGATAAGCATGGTATATTAAAACATTACAGAGTAATAGCATAACTATGTGAGTAATTTATATTTTCGTAGAAATCAAGTAAAGCCACGACCTTGGGCAAACATCCTCGTCGGTATTTATCGTACAAACATTTACCACATTGGGGTTCGATCCCACTATTTCAAGAGTATTCGACACCTTGAAAAACGGAATTCATACCACTCTACCACAGAAGTCGTTGTCGATACAAGGGATGCAATCTCCAATATTTATTTGCTATTCGATAAAGATTAAATCGTATTTGAACATGCTTCGTTTGCTGTGTTGATAATATTTGATTGAGCTGCCTGTAAAGGCAGACTGCCAGTGGCGTTATGATTCGACGAAGAAGGTATGCCTATAATCGAAATATTGAGACGATATTGATAAGTACTTACATGAAATTTGTAATGTATTGATTACCTACTAAAAATAATTCGTGCGGAAAACAAGGTTCTTCAGCTGGATATAGTAAGATTCTTATAAACAACAAATATCAGGCAAAATGAAAAATAACTGCTCTGCTTTATAGGTTGCCAGATGGCAAATGAAAATAGAATAATTTCTAAAATTGTGACAATAAATTATGAATTCAATGTATACATGCATTAGCATGTAAGGCTAAAAGCGAAGGTAAACGAACGATAGTGAGCAATCATTTAAGCAGACGTAATAATATCGTATACTATGCAAGCGACGCGTACGCACTAGCTAGCTTGTCGTTTAACTTGGTACGTGTTTAGGGTTCCGTACCCAAAGGGTAAAAATGGAACCCAATTGCTGTCACTCTGTCTGTCTCTTGTCTGTCCGTATGTCACGGGTCTCTAGATCGTAAATGGAATAAGCTACAGAACTGAAATTTTGTAATTTTATGTAAAATGCTTGCTCTAAACCGAATATTTAGTTAAAATTTTAATAAAATTATATTTCATGGGGGGTCTCATACATGAAAAGGAGACGAAAAATATTTTTTCCTTTTTACCCCAGTATTTGACACATCATTGTCTAGAGCTCGTTGAGAAAATATAAAAATAATTTTAATTATTTTTAATTTTCAATAACAAAGAAATGGGGAGCCGTCCAAGTTATTATATATAGACTATTCTTGTTACTGGGTCTACCTCAAAATCTAAACTAGTTAGGAATGTATAATTTGGTATTGGTCCCATATTCTGTATATTTAAACAACAAATACTAAAAACGCTGATTCATAACGTACTTTGGAAGTTATGACGAAACTAAATTTAAAGGATATTTCATGGTTTGTTGTACGGAACCCTTCGTGCGCGAGTCCGACTCGCACTTGGCCGGTTTTTTTATGTTTATACAGGCAAACGAGCTTGCAGTGCACCTGATGGTAAGTGGTCATTGCTGCCCATTGACCCTTGCAGCACCAAGGGTAACACTTATACGTTTCCGGCTCTGAAGGAAAAGGTTTACCCGCCTTTTGAAGACCGTCATAATATGAGGAGCTGGCGAACAAAACGGTATAATTACATCTGGTCAAACTACATTTTCTTTACAGTCCGGAGGTTTCGGGTCCTTTGAATTTGAATCTATATATATATATATAAATCTGAACTGAATGACAACGGTTGAACGGATTTATCTTATCTTGGTCTTGAAATGTTCGTGGAGGTCTAGGGAAGGTTTAAAAGGTAAGAAAAAATCGAATAATTGCGATTAAGATAGAAAAATACAATTTCATTTGTCCATATCAATCAAATTATTGTAAGCAGTACGAAGTACGCTGGGTCATAGTATCAAATAATTTTCAATCAAAACCACCTAAAACAGTGTTAAAATTACTAAATTTATAAATTAAAAACCATGCCAAAAGCTAGTAGTAGATATGTCATTCAGTTTTATACGGCTCCTGTAAAATTTAATTTTATGTAATTATACCGTTTAGTTCGCCAGCTCCTCTTATCATAGTTAAGATGGGAGGCGGGGAATGTTGTGACCATACAAACGTTCTCGACTGATTCCTTCTTGATTTTTATCACTAAAGAAATGATTTTCATATATAAAATAAACTTTTACTCATTCTATGCTCCTGTGTCTTCCTTTTTTCAACAACTTGTGTTTTAAAGAAACTAGAAGCCCACAAAAATGCCAAAAATTAACATATTCTTACTACCACTAAAGACGTCTCGAGTGGAGATTCAATAAGCATTTACAAAAAAGCAAAACAGAGGCCTATAACCACTTATTATTCTATGGCTAAAATTTCTTTTGACATAATGTTCAATTTTCGAGGAGAAAATTTTACCTATAGAATAATAAGTAGTTATACTATGCCTCCATGTTTTGTTTTTTTTTTTGTAAATGCTTATTAAATCTCCACAGTAGTTAGTGGTGATAGAAATTTGTTCATTTTTGGGAATTTTCGACGGCTTCTAGTTTCTTTGAAACACAAGTTATCGAAATAACAAAGACTTACAAGCATAGAATAAGTAAAATTATATTCTATGAATGGAAATAAATTCTTTGGTGATAAAAATCAAGGAGGAATTTGTCGAGAACGTTTGCATGGAAAATAACATTACCCGCCTCCCCTCTTAAGTGGGAAAACCGCTGAGGGAAGTTTTTTCCAGATGTTTTGACGTATCGTGCTTTTAGTCAAAGCTGATTACTGAATGCATTTTTTGGATGGTAAAGTATAAACTTATAGTCGAACGTACCACAAATAAATTTAAATCAATTTTGTATGACCTGGGTACTTGATTATAATTGTATTAATGAATATATTTTCCCTAACAACAAATAGTGAAAATAAAGCTAGCTATTAAGCAGCTCAAAACATTTTTATTATGTGCATTAAAATTTACAATAAATTGCCGGACAAGTTCAAAGAACTAGAACTTTTAAAAACAAATACTTAAGAATTGGTTCAGTCAAAAATGTTTTTATGGTATCCAAGAGTACTTAGAATATAGATAGGAAATAAATTCAAATGGTTCCTATACGTATAATGTAATAAATGTGTACCTATATACCTGTAAAGGTACGATCAAGTGGTACTGTACATTAAGACCTGTATTTTCATCAACTCATTTATTATTATTATAAAATAAAATCTTGTAATGAAACTGTTAAAGTGCCATCTTCGGGTGCTAAATTACTGTTTTTATATATTCTTATTATATTCATATTATTAATAGGTATATTGTTGATCGAATAATTAAATTATATGAATAAGTGAACTAATTACATATCTTATTAATCATAAGAGACGGCACCTTCCACTGATGTTGATTTGACTTGGTGCCCTAAATTAAGATCTTTATCCAAGTTAAATCTGTTACTAAGTTATATCATGACTGCAGTAATTTTATCAAATGCATGGAAGTTATGGCATTCAGGAGCATTAATTGTGAATATAGCGTCAAAACATTGGATCAAGGTAGTCGCATTCAAATTCGATCAATCATTCGTCATACATCAAAAACTATAGTATATAGTTTATGCTTAATAGATGATATCTGGAAATCCGTTGATGACATTGGAATAATCGATTTAGAAACGGAAGCGAGGTCGCTTGGAGATTTGTATGTGCCGAAGTACCGTTTCAATCGATTTTGATCAATACTGATGTGAAGAATGACGAATATAGCATATAGCGTGCAATGGGATAGAGAACAAGGGCACATTACAGCTTTAGGTCGTATCCGCGAGGACGTGAGGAGGTAAGAGTTGCGGCGCAGCCACAACCTTGCCGCTATGGGCGACGGCTTAGAGCGACACGCCGAGCGATGAGATCAAATGTACCTATTAAAATGTTAGAAGCACGCCACGACGCGATGCTCACAGCTTTGGGGCTAGCGTAAAGTCCAGCGTACCACCGAATGCGCGCAGTCTATCGCTGCGCTTATAGCTTAGCCAAAAGTCGTGACCCAAACTTATAACAGCTGAAGTTATAGGGTAACAACTTGAGTTGTAAGTAAGAATATCGACCAATTTTTTCTATATTGAGTTACAAGATGCATCAAATTATGCAAGCTCGTGATCGAAAAATTAGAGCGCGAAGGGTTCGAGTGAAGAAGTAAGCTTACCATCCTACCGCAATTATTTCAAAAATCTACAAGGTTATTGAGCGAGTTAGAAGATATGCTCAGTGATCGTCAATATGGTTTCCCCCGGG